ACACAGAGATGCAATAACATACAGGCTCATACACAAACGCATTCATTATATTTTATTTTTTTTAAATACACGCCATAACACAAGCACACATCCACAAAATTATCATTTTTTATTAAAGAAAATTAAAGACTGTTACGGAAAATCATCTTATATAAAGTCAACAAAAAGGCTTCTAAACAACTGATACTTACAGTCGGGTCTCTACCTCAGAACTCTCAAACGCAACAACGCGTGATTAAAAAGGAAGTAAGTCGAACGTCTGTCTTCTCGAGTGCATGAGATTTCTGTTGTTGTTTGAGACTAAACAGGAAGTTTGTGAAAAAGAAGTTCCAGCGGTTCTCATCGCTCGCTGTAACAGTACTGTGATTAAGTGAGGTCAATATTGTTAAATGAAGTTTGTATTTGGTTCCATAACCATTCAGCAGCACTTATCCCATCCGGAGGGACCGGTGTTTCTTTCAGGCATATCTCAGTGTGCGTGTGTGTGTGTGTATGGGGGGGGGATTGAAGGAGGAGGGGGGAAATTTTTTTGGAACGGAAAGGTCTTTAAAAATGTTTTGTTAAAACTGTATTAATTATTTAAGAAGTTCACCCCAAAACTAGATTGAATAAAAATTAAAAAGCCACATTACTATTTAATAATGTATTATGTAGCCGTAGGGGTTGTGGGGTCAACACGATGGCTCTGAGGTTAAATGACACCTAAATATTTAACCAGATCTCTTTCGTTACCCTCCAACATAGTGTACAATGATGCAAACTAAATTTGGGTATGTTCTAAAATGTATTCTTCCATATTGAATTTATTAGAAATGATGTGGGTTCTATAACGCCTTAAGGGACGATCATAACCTAGGGCTAAAAGCATAACCGCAGTGGCGCCACAAATGGCATGGATTGAGTACATGTTTGTGTGGGGCAGAGTTAGAGATATCCTTGATCATCATTATGGCTGCCTTTGGCGCTTTCCAGCCGAAAGTCTGAAATGCCTCCTCAATATTGTTCTGAAAGGAACACCAAATTCAAGTATGCGCCAAAATGCATCCCTGCATTTTATGTTTTCGCGCGAGAGTCTTCAACACCCTCAATCTCTGCACCCCTTTTACATCAAGTAGATCAGTGTGACAGTGCGGGGTTGAATCTAAGGGTTTATCAAATGATTACTCTGGTGCGCTCCAAAACTGGAGTGAATGCAGTTTATGCATTGCACTGGGCACCATAATGCCTCCCCGTTAAAAAAATCCCCCCCTCCCCAATCAATAGAAACACTGAATTCAGGTATACTCGAAAATGCACCTCTTGATTCTGAAATAATCAAACATTTTCTGGTTTGGGAGGGGTGGGGGGAACCTCCCACAAACCTACTTTTGCACTCCCTTTCACGAAAGAAATTCTTCAGTTATCCAAAAATGCCACCCTCCATATAAATAAAAAAGTGACACCTCGGCGGATGACCCCTTCCCCCCCCTTTTTTCTACGCCCTTGGTCTAGGGTCATCGAGTGTGTTTGACACCAGGGGACACGATTCATATTACTCGGTTTGAGAGTTAAGGAGGGCATAACTCTGAAACCAATTATTTTTATTCATTAAAAATCACCAAGCCCATTATGGCACCCCCGCTAGTCTTTCGCCCGGGGGCATCTGTCCCCTCTACCCCCGCCCCCCCCCCCTTGCGTATCTGGAAACTGGCACTGCCCCGAAAATCTGAAATCCCTACTCCCGGAGGAAACTGTTTTTGAAAGAAACACTGACTCTGATCTTGAATAGAGAACTTTCAACACCACGATTCAAATGACGTAGTACTCGGATCAAGCCTGTCTGGAACTAACGCAAAGAGAGACAAACTTTGGAACAGCGCTGCATTTCCAGAAAATGCGTTTGCTACCCGTAAAAAATATTTTCTTAGAATTCGTAGAGAGTTATCACTTTTAATTAGCTGACATTTAAAATAAAATATTGCATTTTAAAAATAAAAACCTTCATTTTATCGAATGAAAAATGAAATAGATCAATAGTGATTTTAAAAAAAATAAAAACTTAGAGATAGAAAGACAGAAAATGCTATATTCGTTCATAGACACCACTGTGAGCTAGATAAGGTCAACTGACTTCAAGTTCATAGACACCCATGTGAGCTAGATAAGGTCAACTGACTTCAAGTTCATAGACACCCATGTGAGCTAGATAAGGTCAACTGACTTCAAGTTCATAGACACCCATGTGAGCTCGATAAGGTCAACTGACACAAGTTCATAGACACCCATGTGAGCTAGATAAGGTCAACTGACTTCAAGTTCATAGACACCCATGTAAGCTAGATAAGGTCAACTGACTTCAAGTATCAAAAGATTCATGGGAACATCTTTGTAAGTTACACGGAACCGTTTGCCTGACTCAGGCTGACAAAAAAAAAGTAAGCCAACGTAAAAAGACAGTCTGAACCGTAGCGAGAACATTTACCATCTTTAGGTCATTCAATGACTGAGTTCTACCTAAGACAGAACATTTACCATCTTTAGGTCATTCAATGACTGAGTTCTACCTAAGACAGAACATTTACCATCTTTAGGTCATTCAATGGCTGAGTTCTACCTAAGACAGAACATTTACCATCTTTAGGTCATTCAATGGCTGAGTTCTAACTAAGACAGAACATTTACCATCTTTAGGTCATTCAATGGCTGAGTTCTACCTAAGACAGAACATTTACCATCTTTAGGTCATTCAATGGCGGAGTTCTACCTAAGACAGAACATTTACCATCTTTAGATCATTCAATGGCTGAGTTCTACCTAAGACGGAACATTTACCATCTTTAGGTCATTCAATGGCTGAGTTCTACCTAAGACGGAACATTTACCATCTTTAGGTCATTCAATGGCTGAGTTCTACCTAAGACAGAACCTTTACCATCTTTAGGTCATTCAATGGCTGAGTTCTACCTAAGACAGAACATTTACCATCTTTAGGTCATTCAATGGCCGAGTTCTACCTAAGACGGAACATTTACCATCTTTAGGTCATTCAATGGCTGAGTTCTACCTAAGACAGAACATTTACCATCTTTAGGTCATTCAATTGCTGAGTTCTACCTAAGACAGAACATTTACCATCTTTAGGTCATTCAATGACTGAGTTCTACCTAAGACGGAACATTTACCATCTTTAGATCATTCAATGACTGAGTTCTACCTAAGACGGAACATTTACCATCTTTAGGTCATTCAATGACTGAGTTCTACCTAAGACAGAACCTTTACCATCTTTAGGTCATTCAATGGCTGAGTTCTACCTAAGACAGAACTTTTACCATCTTTAGGTCATTCAATGACTGAGTTCTACCTAAGACAGAACATTTACCATCTTTAGGTCATTCAATGGCTGAGTTCTACCTAAGACAGAACATTTACCATCTTTAGGTCATTCAATGACTGAGTTCTACCTAAGACGGAACATTTACCATCTTTAGGTCATTCAATGACTGAGTTCTACCTAAGACAGAACCTTTACCATCTTTAGGTCATTCAATGGCTGAGTTCTACCTAAGACGGAACATTTACCATCTTTAGGTCATTCAATGGCTGAGTTCTACCTAAGACAGAACATTTACCATCCTTAGGTCATTCAATGGCTGAGTTCTACCTAAGACTGACATATTTCCTGGTATTACCGGGTAGTGAGACGTGCCAGGAGAGTTTTGATTAGCCAATTTGTTACCATCAAGCAGGAAGCCGTCCGTGCACATTACGACCATTTCGTGGAGAACCATCAAGCAGGAAGCCGTCCGTGCACATGACGACCATTTCGTGGAGGACCATCAAAACAGGAGGTGGAATAAATCATTATCAGGACGAAAGATAACAATACAAGTTGGAAGAGAAATATCACGTGATCGCTGAGCAGTGGCGTAAATTTTGCATGGGGTCATAGTACTGATAACGTATTTTTTAAGCAACTCTTGTCCACCCCGGCCTATCTTTTAGTGTGTTGTGGTTATGAGTTTAGCTGTTGTATTTTAAATTAAACATTATCTTTTTTATTTTGTTGTGGGGCATAGATGAAATTCCACTTAACGAAATAACTTTACCTTGTCTAAATTAATTAACTCCGAAAATGGGATATTAAAAAAAAAAAAAAAGATACAGAAAACACCATAGTTTCCCTCTCAAAGATACAGAAAACACCATAGTTTCCCTCTCAAATAAACTGAAAATACTATAGTATTCTCTTAAATATACTGAAATAAAATGGGAAATTAAAAAAAAAAAAAAAAAAAATACAGAAAACACCATAGTTTCCCTCTCAAAGATACAGAAAACACCATAGTTTCCCTCTCAAATAAACTGAAAATACTATAGTATTCTCTTAAATATACTGAAAAAAACATAGTCAACTCTTAAGGATATTGAAAACACCGTAGTTATTCTTTAAAAAATCTTCTCAGGGTTGCATCCCTTAGAACAAATTGAAGAAAGGAGATACTCTGAACAAGAAATTTACGCTCATTTTGAGAAATAGGCCTACGTTGGAGAGGAAGGAGTTGTGAAAGATTCATGGAAAATTATTTTAACCAATGAAACCGTGAGGTAATAAGGAGGCCTTTAATTACCTCATTTATTAACTATTTTTTACCGACTAGTTGAATTGCCCGGCGTTTACCAGGCCGCTTTGAAGAAGGGATGTGCTGAAGTCAGCTGTGGGGGATTGAAGCCATCTCTCTTCTTACAGTGGTTGCATTTTAATTCTTCAATATTTTTTTATGGCAAGGCCCCTACGATACATCTTTTACCACATCACCATATTGTAATTAAACATTGAACTCAAACTCTCTAAGCGCACATCGTCAACCTAAAAAAAAACAATGGTGGAAATAACAACAACACAAAGGGTAAACATTTACCAAAGTAACAAAAATAAATGATTAAAAACAAGACGTAAAAGATCAAAGATGATTTATAACGCAACCAAAGTAACAGTTGTTTTTATGTTTTTTACCAACGTCATGTTTTAGTAATCTTTGGTGAGGTAATATTGTTTTTTGGAATACCTGCAAAAGAGTCCTTTATACCCCACTTCTACTTGTTGTCTTAAGTATAAAAATGTGTCTTTAAGGTCTATCAATTTCAATTTCTTTCCTGCGATTGATAAATATCCTAAAGGTGGCCCTTCTGTACATATAAGGGCTTTATTAACTAGAGGAATACTATTTACCGCAATTTAAAATTTTGTCAATTTAATCTTTCACATTTCAGTTTTTACATAATTACTTATTCTCTAAACTCTTTTCGGGGAATGGTTCGTTTAAAAATTTAATATTCCTATAAATTATATTATAAGAAACGAAAAGAAAACAAAACCACCACAATGACTATAATGAACGTAGTAAGAGTAAACAATTATTAATGTTATAGAAACAGTAAAACATTCTACTGATACCAGATATGCTTTTGAGACCGGTCATTCTACCAAGATCACATATTCTAATGAGACCGGATATTCTATTGAGACCAGATATTCTACTGAGACCAGATATTATAATAAGACCAGCTTGTTTTTCTGTAGAATTTTCAGTTTAAGCTCATAGTTCCATCTCTACGTTCTCACTATCTAAAAAAAAATTTTTTTATGACGAACTTAATTCCATAATTTAAACAAAATCGAGAATTCGCTTACATTGAAGTGATGACTGAGTGTTAAACAATAAATTATTATCATATATTGGTGAAGATTACCATCTGATTGTTCAGACTTTTGGAAAGCTTTTATAGAACATCTCACCGTGTTTTGCCTCTAATTAGAGGATTTGTTTTAGCTCCAAAAAGGTGTCCGTTGACAGAGCATGACTGTGGTGTACATTTGACATGATTGGTGCCCATGAATGTGTTCAGACACACCACCTCCATTATTTAAGGCCGAGAGACCTTTAAATCCGTATGGATATTTTTTCTCGCAATCTGCAAAAGCGACCGCTTAGCTCTTACACACTTAGTCCTTACACACTTAGCTCTTACACACTTAGCTCTTACACACTTAGCCCTTACACACTTAGCTCTTACACAATTAGTTCTTACACACTTAGTTCTTACACACTTAGCTCTTACAAACTTAGCTCTTACACAATTAGCCCTTACACACTTAGCCCTTACACACTTAGTTCTTACACACTCAGCCATTACACACTTAGCTCTTACACAATTAGTTCTTACACATTTAGTTCTTACACACTTAGCTCTTACACACTTTCCTGTATTCTTATCGTTGATCTTCTTATTAAAAATCTCGTGTTGTTTTCTTACATTTCGGAATACTTCTCTTTGGTAAGCGGTGCTTTGAATACATTTAGGAATATTTCTATAGTACAATTTTCAAAGAATCTAAAATCTAAATCTTCCAGTATTTCTACAGCCTGGGGAAGATGTCCGTTTGGCTCTTCCGTGCAGTTTCCAACATTCGTTGTCCGATCTAGATCTGGCTTTTGTGGGGGTTGGGGGTTGGTGGTTGGGGGTTGGTGGTTGGTGGTTGGGGGTTGGTGGTTGGTGGTTGGTGGTTGGGGGTTGGGGGGTGGGGGTTGGGGGTTGGGGGGTGGGGGTTGGGGGTGGGGGGTTGGGGG